GGGGGGGGGGGGCAAGGAGGGTGCTGGGTCTCCAGCTCTCTGAGCAAATGCTCCAACCACTAGGAAACTGGGCCCAAAGGTGGGAGAGTCCTTCTGTTCCCTATCACTTTCAGCAGATGTGTGTACACTTGGGTGAGCCTATTCCATCATAGGTGGAGTTTGAATCCAGTGTTCAAGTACCAAAAGTTGCAGTTACATGGCTATATAAGTGCCACTTGGACACACATTAGACATGAAATTGGATTTGGATTGTAGAGTTAATTTTTTCTTTTGGGTATGGAAGAAATGGTCCTTATGAGCCTTTCTAAAAATTAAAAAAGGCAACCTATTATGTAGTAATGTGCTACAGCACTTCAAAGCACTGCTTAACAGTTTGGGTTTTTTTAAATAACTGGGCTTCATTTTCAGAAATCTGTATCTAACAAATGTGTTATAAAGTCATTCCATTTCCACCACAAGCTTGAAACTCCTGTTCCCTGACAGTCAGGAAAAGGCTGAAAACAGTAGTGCTTAGAACTGATTAACTGCTTTCTTTTTTGTTTCCTTAACACAGTTTTGCACCATGAAGTGCATGGTATAGTTTCGATGGGCTTGTCCTCAGTTTCTGCAAACTTAAGCTCACATTGTTCTACAAACAGAACAAATAGTGCCTTTGAAATAGCCACTGAGTTGTCTACAATTCTTAAATAATAGGTCAGTAGCTTGTATCTCAAGTTGGGTTTTGATAGTATATTTGCAGAGAGGCAAATACTTGCCTAGGTTCTTTTAGAGGTTTTTTGTATGGTGCACTGTGGAAATAACTGTCCTTTGAATTCAAATTTCCCCTATTGGATAATAAGAGTAGAGATGAGGAAGAAACTCCTGAAACACTTCTGGTAGATGAAAAGTTGTAAGTGCTTAAAAGAACAAATTGTTGATTGAATTCTCCTCTGAGTTGAGGACTGACAACAGTCCAAGGTGGTTACATTAAAATTATGGATTAATTATTATATTCATTGCTTGTATCAGGTTATCCAGCTGCAGACAGTACAATGCAGTCAATGTTTGTCTTTATGCAGACAGGTACACACGTAATTTAAAAATGGATTTAAAACCATTTTAGTTAACCAAGTGGAAAAGGTATTAGGGACATTTTCAGTCTGAGTAATTTATTTCAACTTAATTTAGAACAGTTAGGAATAGGCTGGAACTAACCCAAAAAAACTGTTCTTAAACTGAAGTAGGAATGCACCTACAGGGGTTTGCACAGGTTTAACTGTGGTGAGCCTGTGGATTTGTCTGCATGGGACAAAGTTTTGATGTAATCTAAGGTATGAGCTGAAGTAAACAGGCTAGGAACAGAAGTTACACATAAATCGGTACAGGTGATTGGACAGCAGTTCAGATCTATAATACAACAGAAGTTGAGTGCACATAAACCACTTTCTAAAATAGCCAAAACTGGCTTAAGATAAACCTGGTTGGATGTATTATCAGACTTAACTGATTTAGGTTAAATCGGTTTATTGAAATTCTGTCCCAGATCCCCTCCAGATTCAAGTTAACTCACAGTTCCCCAGCATCCCAGGATGCTTTGCACGTCCCCTGCAAACCCCACATTGCAGGGTGGGCAGGCTTGCTGTGGCCCAGACTGTCTGCTCCAGCCAAGCAGGGAGGTGTGCTCTAGTGCTCCCTGGCTTCTGGCCTGAGCCTCTGCAGGGCTGTGGCTGCATTTCCAGAATCAAAAGTGAATGTCTGTTTATGTGCTTATCAGTTCAATCTATGCACCTTACACTAACCTGTGAAGATTGAATTGATTCAGCTTCAGGCTTTTTAACTGCCTGTACTTAGCCATAAAGAGTTATTTGGATATAAGCCCCCATGGAGACACATTGGACACAAGTAAATGAACACAGGACTCTGAGACAAAAAATGGCAGAGCTTTCCTGCGCCTCAGTAGGAAACTGCTCTGCAGTAACTGGCCATATGCATGCTCTTTCTCCCAGGAAATGCAAGCAAGTGTGCACAAGGGCAGTTACCACAGAGCAGTCCTGCAAGGTACAGTGCTGCCCTTCTCTGCCACAGATGAACTTCTTGATGTGTCTGTTCCCTTATTCCAATGAGATAGCCTTTTGGGTTTTAGTGTTGTCACTTAGGAAGGGTTTAAGCTAACATTAAGAGCCTCTTATTTCTCCTTGAATACAGGGTTTTACATTTGTTAACATACAGGGCTCTACCAGACATAGGCCAGTAGAACTGGTAAAAATCTTTCCCATTTATTCAAGGCAGTGGTAGCTGAGATTTTTTAAGCTTTACCCTAATCTTTAGAGATCATAGGAGAGCTTTGAAGGCAAACTTGACTTGTAGCCTAGCCCAGATCTGCACATGACACTGCTTTCTTCTTTTCAAGCCCTATTCCCTTTGGTGGCAAAGAAACCTCTCCAAAGCTGCAAAGAGTGTTGTGAGTTTCTCATACCCTGAAACAAGAGCTCCAGGCAAGGTGTGAACTGCCCCATTCATCTTAATGGGGTGTTAACTTTGAAACCTCCTGCTTACAATTCATATGTCAACATTGTTAACTATTTAATTGCTGATCATTTTAGCAGAAACTTCCCATTTTAGCAGAAACTTCCCACAACCCTAAACTGCTGCCTGAACCTTTTTAGGTGCCAAAAAATCCCAGCTGCACACCCTTACCCAACTGCCAAAACATCCATCTTGCCATGACAATTTGTAATGCACAGGTTTGAAATGCCAAAAATAAAAAAATGAAGGAGCAATGTAAGGTAATATTTAGTATTACATGCAGAACAAAAGGAGTACTGCACTGACGATATTATCTACTGTCAGACTTCGTTCAGTAAACCCTTCTATCTTTTAAGTTTCCTGTAGCTGTCACTGACCGTCCAGTTCTAGAGTACTGGATCACCCAAATTAAGACCAGAGTAGCAGGGCATTGATTATGATTCATGGTTGGCTCTAACCTTTGTTTTATTTTACTGTTCTCTTTGAAGCCCCACAAATAAAGTTAGCCTTTTAAAAAGTATACCCATAGGCAGTTACAGTAATGTTTAAAAATTTGGTTAGATGCAGCCTCAATGTTTACTTTGTTAGCTTCACTTTCAATGGACAGATATAGGCTGAAAAGAAAATGACAACATGCAAACATGTTTTTAAGGTAAATGTGCAAGAGCTGACTTACAATCAGCATCTGCAAAAATAATGTTTGGGCTCTTCCCTCCCAACTCCAGAGTAACTCTCTTCAAATTACTCCTTCCAGCTGCTTCTTGGATCAGCTTCCCAACCTGAAAGGAAATGGAGAAACATTTTTACAGACAATGCAGTCATACAGTTAGTACAACAGTCAGCTATGGACATCAGTGGAACACAGCTATTAAATAATCTAGCAAGTTCTTGAAATCCAAAAAGATTCACATAATAGACAAACTTCCCAAGTCTTCCCAGAATGAGAGTGGACAAAGCTTAATGTAAACATGTCAGAAGGAGTTACCCTTTAATATCTGCTGAAATGATTTAGGGGTGTCTTCTGGACTTTTGGGGGCGTTATCTTCTAGACTGACAAGTTCTACGGAGATTTGAGGTAAAATCTAAAATCTGTGTAACCAGAGTTACTTCTTTAAAAATATTTGGAGCATGTATTACATATAAAACATGTGCAAGGGATTAACACAAGGCTTGGCTTTATAACTTTTGGTTTGATACTGAAAAAAACAAATGACATAACATGTACAGCAAGTGCAGCACTTATTAGGTAAGCATACCTAAGTAATAAGTGCTATCATACTCCTTTTATATGGAGCTTGTAATTTGATCACTGCAGTTCTAATTATTATAATCTATGCTAAATATGGAATTTTTTCAGACTGTAATCCAAATACATTCTTAGAAGGACATAAATCCTCCTCAATGGGTGCATCTACACAAGACGCTAAATGTGCAGTAGATTAATTCTACTGTGCATTAGCATGTCAAGCCAAAAGCTGTGCTATTGCACTAATGCTCAGTAGAAATAGTCTACTGCATATTAGGATCACTAAAAAGGTGTACAGTGGCGCTACTGCGCAGTAGCGTGGTTAGTGTGCATCGGGTTAGTACCTGTTGTTACAGGTACTAAGGTTAATGTGCAGTAACTATGGTTCATTAATGCACATGTAGATGCACCCAGTATTCAGTTTTGAGTATCCAAAGGATTAAATTGATTTACCAGTAAAATTATAAAACAGAGAATACCACATCATCACAAAATCAGCACCATTGGATATAGGGTTAGTAGCCAATAGAAGATGGAGAAGAACACTGGATAGGACAAGATGATGGAAATATACCAGCATTTTAGGCCTGGCTCCATGGGACAGTTGGGGTGGTTAGGGTGCAAGTTAAATGTGGTTTAAAAGTAACTTCACTTTTCCTTAACTGTAGGAAAACTAAAGGAGAATGCAGACCCTAGTGGAAATTAGAGCAGCCCCAGGACTGCAACAAAAGAGGCCATATGAAAAATCAGTAAAATGTGGAAGCAGTCTGACCATATTCATGTTCTGCCAGCCATTTTCAAAGCATCTCCAAGATCCAGTCCATTGTTCTTTTCCCTAGGATAAGTGATTACTTTCCTGAATTTGTATTAGCAGTTTAACTTTTATCTGTACTTTATACTATAGGATCTAGCTATTTGGATCTCCCTGTATTAAACTCAAATTCATTGGCCCAGGTGATGCTGACTCACAGCACTAAGGGGTTAATGGAAGGAAACTGAACTCCTACAGAATTAAAGTCAGTCTGCTGGAGAAAGTTAGGTCAGCAATGGAGTAATCATAAAGCAAGTGAAACAGAACCCAGGGCCCCCACTAGAAAAAACAAAGCAAAAGCCCACAGGATAATTAAGGAATTGTCAACCAGGCCACATAACTCTGTGATTAACTGTGTATATGGTGATACCACTAACAAGTTTAATGGGAGGTTTTCTGAATTAAAAAAAAAAATAAATTAACTTTCGCCTCTTTTCTTTACCTCTGTAATGATGAAATGGAGTGTTGACATTATCATGAAATTCCTTACATATCCCCTTAATTGGAGCTGATTTTACTGCTACATTTGACTGACAACCAGGCATGCACCAAAAAAAAAATGAAATCCCCTCCCCAACATTTAACGCACCACTTAAAAATTCCAACGTCTCTCAAACGGTTCTGAAATTTACATTTGAAAATCAACAAGGGCATTGTGTTTACAGCCAGTGCTGGCCCACATCATTCTGCAACCTCAGGGCTTGAAACCTCCCTCTCTCAAAGAATGATAATTATTTCTACTAAAAAAAATCAAAATACAAACAAGATGTGGAACATAAGGTCTGTCTTTTCCCCACCTTTTCTGCTTTTATTGCAGATCTTTGTGATTATGTAAATAAAGATAAATGAACTCTACAAAACAAATAACTACAAAATGTTACAGGTGCTGGAGAAAATTATCTGAATTTGCAAATCTGTTGTCTATGATCTTGTTCAGTGGTTCTCAACCTTTATAGACTCAGGCATCTCTTGACAATTCTTAGTTTTCACTCATTTCTTGACTATGGAACACAATTTCTCGGTTACAAAGAACTCAGAAAGATGGGTTAGAATGTTTTTGATATTATGGATTCCTATTTGAAATCTCTGGATTTATCCTGTGAATCATGCGTAGGTGTTCACATGCCTAGTAATACTAATGCTGCATGTCACCCTTAAGAGAATCTTGTGGCACCTTGGGATGCCACATCATCCTTGGGTGAGAATCACTGATCTTGTTATATATACTAAGGTCATTGATGGTGTGTCAAGTAGAAGCTTGAGAGACAGGTTTGATTCACTGTTAATGCTGTAAATAAATGCACACTTCAGTATGGGGGAGCTCGAAGCAGCTTAGCACATGGCATGTTGCTCCTGAAGACAAGAACTCTGTTCAGTGTACTCCGATTGTGCTCTGTAAACTTACAGGAAGGTTTTAGGGAGGGTACTGGAGCTGCGATAATTTATTGGGAAAAGGAGCCTTTTTCATTTTTGTCCTCATCCACAATGAGAGCCAGTTACAAAGGGATAAGTGATAGCGTTCCAGTCCGTTCATACTTCCTGTGGTGTCTCTCAGCTCTATCTGTGAACTCCCAACAGGCAGTGCAGCTTAGCTAGGGAACACTGGAAAAGAGGACTCCCCCACAGATAATGGAGTTGTGCTGATTAATCAGCAGGAATGTTGGCATAGAAAACCTTGACTCCCCATCCTTGTTTTGAATAGGCTGCAAGATTGATATCAGAAGTATCCCTGGATAACTTGTGCAATACCATAACCCCGTAAACTGCACGGAGGGTGTGGGTAGATGTAATTTGGCCCATCTCAAAGAAAACTATTTGTTATATAGAACAATAAAGAAAGAAAGAAAATAATAAAAAAGGAAATAAAACCACCCACGGCTATACAGGGCACCTCTATTCAATGAAGCTACTTGAAGAGCAGCCCCTTAAGGATTCAGTTTATTAAACTGATTGCAGTTTCCTTTGTATTAGTTTAATAACTGAGAGGGTGTTTGCTTGCTTGTTTTAGGAAGAAATTCATTCTGTCCCATTTTAAATAGCATCTGCAAAACATTTTAGAAAGAAATGTCGAACTTCATCTACCTTCTTTTAGAATGTAGTAACCTTTTGCACCCATTACTTTTATTTTCATATTTATGTTCTTTCTGATGCCAGACAGCAATGGAGATGCTAACATGGCAGAAGAGAAGCAACTTTTGCCATCATTTCTAATCTTGAAAGCTCACAAAATAAGAAATAAAACAAACTAAGAAGCACATGAGATTCATTCTCTAATTCTAAACAGTGCTTCTGACTTTCAGCTGTACCTCTGTCCTGAACCTTTATATCTTCAGAACACAGAATGTATAGTAGGATACACCTGAATCAAAAGGATCAGCATCCCTTCTGCACAGTAGATGATTCACCTGCATGTCCTTCTGTTTGTGCAATATTGTCTGCACGGGGAAACTTAGTTAATGAGAAGCTATTATGAGTAATAAATTCACGGAGAGGCTACTGATTTTGTTCACGTTCTAGGAAATACTAGATAAGTGAGCTAGACAGGGGATCATTGGGACCGAGAGCCAGATTGCATTATTGGGAATGTGCACAGGGCTGCTCTAAACTGTGAACTCCGGAAATTTGTAGGTCTGGGCACCAGGGGTGAGGCTTGTTTCTCAGTAGTGTTCCAGAGCTCACGTACAAGGTCTTCTAGACATACCCTAAACCTCCTTGGGGCTACTGTGAAAGAAGCTGAACTGGAATAGCATGAGCTCTGAGTTGTAGGAGGTTGGTTAGTGATCTGAGAATCAGGAATAAAATTCTCTCTCCAGAATAGCCCTTTCACTTGGGAGACAAAAGAATGCTGTACATATTTTGGACAAAAACCTTTTAAACCAAGATTCTACTTTCTCTGTGTAAAAATTTCTATTCCTGATTGTATCCAGAATCATTCTGTAAAACCTTGTATTTCCACGCGATACACTCAAGTTGCTTAGTGACCTAAGGTGTTGTCCCTGGGCAGCAAAGATTAGTGAACTTCAAAATCAAAAAGTGGAGAAAGGTAACTTTCTCTGGCAGCCTGATGCCCATTTCTAGGAACAACACTGATCACAGCTCAGCCAGTAGTGCTTCAAACACAACTACATAGCAGAACATAGCTCCAGCAGGAAAAAAGGAATCCCAGAAAGAAAGCATTGGAAGTATCCCAAGTGGCAAGCAGGGTTTATTAGGAACTTGGGTAAAATCTTGGCCCCACTGAGGTCTATCGTCAACCTCCAAGATATAGACGGGGCCAGGGTTCCACCTTTTGCATTCTGGTGTTAAGGAAGTGAACGTGTTCTGTATTTCAGGCAAGGACTGGAATGACAGCCTGGTGACAATTCCTTAGGTCTAGGAAGCACAAACATCCCAGCAGAATGATAAGCAACAAAAATCATCACTACGCATGCTAAATCATGAATGAGTGAGTTATGATATACCCTTCACAAAATCTCCTCACTTTAACTTTGGCTTTTCAGTGATGTGACTAACAGACCTCTTGAAACATGGCATGAAGCCTTTAAAATTCTTCCTGTTAATGGAAGAGAAGCCAAGATGTAATTCTACATAACAGCCAAAAACAAAGAGGTTTTATGATACAAGAGAGCTGACACAACTCATTACTCATGCAGTAGATAGACATGCTGTCTATATCATGCAACATGACATTCATCTCACAGGAAATGAAAGAAGAATCCTGC